ATTCGCCGTCGTCTTCTGGTGGAACCGACCTTTGAATCTCTTCACCCAACACTTCTACTTGAAATGGAAGTAATCCCAACAATCATGAAACAAGAGATTCCTCGAAACCCAACTTTTCATCGTATATAAAAAGAGGAAAGTAAATTTGATGCTAAAGTCGCACAAAAGATGTGGCCTTATCGGGAATCCCAATGCCGTTAGGTTCATAGTCCCAGTACGATGTTTCCCCACCTCCTCTGAACGCCGAGTGCGGATAAAACGACGCAGCAAGTGGGAGACCGCCGGCTCGGCTTGGAGACGATGAGATGCCGTCGGGCTCGACGGCGTCTTCGAGCTTCTCGTACCAATATGGTAACCAACACGTTGACTCGACAACGCACTGTCGGACCGACAAGTCCAGTCGGGACGAGGAAAAACGGAGACGTCGTCTCACCGCGACTCGGAGTCGAATCGCCTCAGCCACTCACGCGGCCTCCCTCCTCTACATCTCAAGCTCATCTGCCATGCCATGTCAGACTCATGGGCAGACAGACAGGCAGACGGACGGACGGCGAAGAGGCAAAATCCCACAGCCCGCAGGCACCGTCACCATTTCACATACCAATACACACACACAGACATACATACATACATATATACATACATACATACGGAGGAAGGGGCATGGAGGGGACGAGCAGTCAGACGGAAAAAGGACAGTGGGAAGCCTGTTTTCCCAAGCCTGCATCAGCCAACGGCAAGAGACTGTCGCTGTCTCCGAAGAAGACGAACGTCCAGTCCTGTCTCTCGGCAACGACTCAAGGAGGACAAGTTGGTACCGGCCTGTCGGGCGGTCGTGATGGATTGGGCCATAACTCATAGGCCTCGTATCGTCTGCTTCACCCACCCTGTCTCCTCCCCTCTCGCACTCCCACTCCCACTCGTACTCCAACTCCCACTCCCACTCCCACTCCCACTCCCACTCCCACTCCTACTCATGCTCACACACACTCCCATTCACAGCCTCACTGTCGCTACGGCGTGTCTTCTGCTCCGCCCCGGTGACCGCCTCGTGCCTAGACGGGTACACGTCGAATCCGTCCTCCCTTCGGGCTGGCACGACTGGGCAACAGTAGCAACCCAACACCGTCTACCCTGGTACT